CTGTTATAAAATATGAAGGACATAATGCCTCCTACTCTTTGGACCTTTCTTTCTACTTCTCAGTTTTTGTCTATCTATCTATCTATCTATCTATCCATCTATCTATATCTCTGTTTATCTATCTACCTACCTATCTATATCTAACTTTATCATCTATCTATCTATCTATATCTCCATCTATCTACCTACCTATCTAGCTATCATCTATTGTTGTGCTGGGCTATGTTGTGACATTTACAAAAGTTTTTACAAAATATCATAGTTGAACTCGCATCATTTTCCTTCATCTCCCCTTCTCTCCACATTTCTGGAATAGTTTCAACAGGTCTCATTTTTCCATTTACATAGATGAGTACACAGTATTTGTACAATATTCAGTACAAAATTTTGTACTGAATGTTTACATTGACTACAGTTAACTCTTTGATGGTTTGCCTTTAGGTTTGCTCTAAAATTTAAAATCAGTCAAAATAGCATTTTAAGTGACATGATTACATAATGTCCTTTATTGTGTGTATAATCCTAGCATGTGGCCTGGAAGCCATTTCATTTTGCCAGTGCCCCTCATAAAAGTGCCAATGGGAACTGTCCGTGGTCCTGCAGGCACAATGTGACCAGTTGAGGGCAGAGCGTTTGCAGTTCTGTAGTGAGCTCAGGAGCACACTGGCCTCTTGGGCAGCTGATGCCCTGGACAAACAGTGTGGACTTTGCCAACAATGGGGACTTCAGACTGAAGCTGAATTCTTATTTTCCAATAAGAATGATGATGATGCCCCCGGGACAGCTCTGATTTGGGAAAGGTCTGCTCATTGAAGTAAAATGTCACTGTGCACCTCCCATGTCTAATCCTCTTCTATACTGCAGTCTTTGAATTGTTTCATCTGCAGGATAAACGTTCTGGCTTTTTTACTATTTCCTCCTTGAAGCCGGGTGCTGGTAGCTCATACCTATAATCCTAGCTACTCAGGAAGCAGAGATCAGGAGGATTGTGCTTCAAAGCCAGCCTGGGGAAATAGCTCATGAGAGCCTATCTGCCTATCTAGAAAAAAAACTCATCACAAAAGGGCTGGTGGAGTGACTCAAGCTGTAGGTCCTGAGTTCAAACTCCAGTATTGCAAAAAAAAAAAAAAAAAAAAAACCCAAAAAACAAAAAGCAAAAAGCAAAAACCTTCCTCCTGGAGCATGACTTCAAAACTTTCACCACGCTTCCTATGGACAAACTGAGTGTACTGTCATAGTCGTATCTGACCCTTGTGTGGGGAAGCATAACTTTTTCTTTATTTCTAGTCAATTGCTGACAAATACCTCTATAAAATACAATAAAAGCGAATCAATAGAATTTATTAAAAAAGTATAAAACATCCAAATTTTAAGTATTAGAAACCACAGACATAAAATAGAATCTGAATGAGCACAGCAAGCACAGCGTGGGAAAAGGGATTATGAAAGTATGTAGGAGACTGAGAAAGAGGCATCACTATGTTGTCATGCCTTGTTTTGAATCGTATCTGAATGAAATCTACCACCTCGAGTCCCTGTGCTAACGCTGTCTGTGCACAATCTGAAGGCACGCTGCTTAAATCAGTGTTTAAAGTCTAACTGAGAAGTGAGCAAGCTTCCAATTCTTTCACGAGATCATCTGGGTTGACTTGATCACAATGCTGTGTGTAGGTGAGATGTTTTGCTTTGAAGATGTGGTGAAAACCAGTCTTAAAGAGGCTTGTTGGGAGTATTACCACAATTAGTGACAGGGTCTCTCTATGTAGCTCAGGCTGGCCTCAAACTCACAGTCTTCCTGCCTCAGTATCCTGAGTGCTGGGATTAAAGGCATACACCACCATACACAGTTTAGAAGACATTTGAAAAGCAATTTCAGCAAGCTCACTAGTTTTATTTGTAATTTTTATCTTAAATGAAATAAGAAATAAATATTAAATAACATGAAATAAATATTATTTTCAATATCTATCTTCAGTTCTCCATCTGTAGACAGTTCTACTAAATTATTCTATAACAGTATAGTGTCACTCAGTGACACATAACTTATTGATTATATCTCTAGCAGATAACATGGAAATGTAGGCCATTTTCCACATTTAGTAATAGATAGATATATTCTTAGGGCTGCAATGGCAGGGCTGAAGAAATAGGTGCATATTAAATTTTGTTAGGTCTGTATACCAACATATCTATGCCAAAATTGCACCTATTCACACTTCTACCTGCAAGGTAGACTGCTTGTGGGGAAAATTTCTGGGTTTGTTATTCATAACTGCTGTAGGCAGAATTAACCGAGCTTTTATATTATAAAACTGATTTAGGATTGGAGGACTTAAGCCCCAGGCAGAAATTCCCATCCTGACGATAAGTAGTCATTGTACTTTTGAAAAGTTTTGATGTCAGGCATATCAAAATCCATATAGCAGTGAGTAACATCATAATAGGAATCGATTGTGTCTTAAATACACAAGTCCCTGAAGGGTTTCATTACTTAACAGGCTCATGCATTTAGTGGGAAGCTAAATTGAATGCCTTAGTCACTTTACTTATAAATGTTTTTGTCAAGAGTGATGGCGAAGGAGTCATTGTTCTGTTGCTGCATTAGTCAGACTGCACCTAAAGATTTCTTAATTACAAAGAAGTTGTTCTCTGGCGACGGCATTGCTGTCTGTCTGGGGCCTGTCCTCTTCCGCAATTGTGATTTACTCTGTGGAGGTCAGTCCTGCGTTTTCTCAAAGGAAGCTACTTGTTTGTCCTTCTGTGTCAGCGTGGTCTGACAGTAGTCTCTGGGTCCTGGACAGCAGTGCTCATGTCACATTACCTTATGTTCTGAGCTTTGGTGTATCCTTGAGGTAGCCACGCAACCAGATTCTAATCTGGTGATAGCCGTTTGGGTAATTGCATTTGCAGGCTGAGGACATCTATTTCCAGCAGATCAACACAGTGCCCCTGAATCCCAAAGGGATTAATCAGAGAGCACTGGGTAGTGGCTGTCCCCAGGGTCTGTCACAGGCTCAGGTCCTGCATTTCATACAGAAACAGCTTAGCATTCACCTGGTCAAAGTGTCCAGAATAAAGACATCTGGCCTGCTGTGATCACAGTGTACATTTCTTATTTCCATTAGACCTAACTGTGGGTGCTTCTGATTATATAGAAGTGCTTTGGAATTGTTGGGGCTGGATTGTCGGGGTCCTTATGTCGAAGTTGGTGAAAAGTAGTATGGTACTGGAGTAGAAAAGTTCCTCAAAGCTGAAATATTTAAATTGTGTTCATTGTTCTTCTGGTACATCAGCTGCCACCTGGTTAGTCTCCTTCAAGTTGACAGGAAGTACATCATATTCAAGCAGCTTGTAGATTTGGGGGTGTATTTTGAAGGCCTTTTGTAAATAATTGGTTAAAATATCACTCTTGACCCATTTTGCATTAGGGGACTTCTTTCGATATAAAAGTGAATAAGTAATTTTCTATCTGGGATTAGAACTCTAAAGTAATTAGGATTAATATTCGTCCTTGTGTCATGGAATTTTGGACCTCAGTTTTCTATGCGTACATTAGATTGTAGTTTTTAGTAAAACTTGGGCCCAAGCAGTGCTGATATTGGCTACTGTAACTGAGCAAGTAAACAGCTATTATGTTCTCATCTGAAGACAATTCTGTAAACTGTAAAAATGTCATATTTTTGAGAAGATATTCTTCCCTTTCTTTATGGGCCATAATTTAATTAGCAGCAGTAGTGGGACTTTCTCTAGAGATGACTAGTTGGGAGAGAGAAAGGAGAAACCAAGATCTTGAAAAGCATTTTACAGAGTAAGCCTCGCAATTAGCTATTACATCTCTGAAAAGGGCAGGCCTGTCCAGTTGCATCTCTGCTGGGAGACTTTTCTTTTAAATTGATGCTTGAGACTTTCTTGATTTCAAAAAAATCATGAGATAAAGGAAGATGTAATGTTTTCTTAAAAAAAGTAGGAAGTACTGTTTCAGCTAACCTTTTACCTGTCTCCAGGCTCTGGGTGGAAATAAATTCCTTTTAAATCCAAGTTCTAAGGCAAGAGGGGTGCTTTGCATGTCAACTAGCAGTCATTCCATGTAGAATCTATGGGTCAAAGATGTTGTTTCTTTTCATGCTTTTTTTTTTTCCTGTTAGCAAAACCTACTATTTTTAATAAAAATATTTTTGCCAGTTAGCTAGTCAATGATACTATAGCAATAGTGATAACCAACTGCTTAATCTTCTCTGATGTGAATTGAAGTATTTTGCAACTTGATGTTAACAAGTGACTTAAGAAATTAACTGAAGCTGGGTGCCCGTGGCTCTTGCCTGTCATCCTAGCTACTCAGGAGGCAGAGATCAGGAGGATCGCGGTTCGAAGCCAGCCTGGGCAAATAGTTCGCGAGACCCTATCTTGAAAAAAACCCTTCACAGAAAAGGGCTGGCAGAGTGGCTCAAGGTGTAGGCCACACACACACACAAAAGAAATTAATTGAAAAGCTGCCTCTTTGGAGCATCTAATGATGGTCTATAAAAGGCTCTGTCCAGGCTACTTTGTCCATGTCTGAGTCACTCTTCCACATCTAATCACACAGGGTACATTCTTTGAGATTCTCCTCCATCCTCCTAACCACCAAATAGCTAGTTATTTCTGTCTCCTTTCTCGAGATTTTACAATTTTAGTTTTGTCTTTATGAGAAGAGGGGCTACACAGTCAATGGATATTTGAAGAAAGATCTGGGACTCCTTTATGACGTAATGTTTTTGTGTGAATGCTAGGCTAGTTTTTAAGATAGGATTAAAAGGGCATTTTTATTCAAAGAATTGTTAATGTCTGCCTAGCCATGATCATCACATCACTTTAAGAAGAGACAATGAGAAACTGAGAGTCAAAATCAGAAGGAATATTTAACCCTAAGTCGTTGGACTCGTTAATAGGCAAATAAATGAACTGCTATCGTCAACCTCGTTGGCTGCTAATGTTACATTTTCACTCTGTCATTATTTCAGGAGTTGCTCATTGCTCTGCAGGCAAAAGAAGCTCTTGAAAGGGAAGTTAAGATCTTCCAAGAAAGGTTACTTGCTGGTCAGCGGGCCTGGGATGCCTCGAAGCAGGAACTGAGTCTCCTGAAGAAAGGTTCACAGGAGTTAGAGGCAAGCTTGAAGGCCAGTCGGGATGCAGCCACAGCCTCACAAAGCCAGAACTCCTCCTTTAGGGAGAAAATTGCAGCCCTCCTTAGGGGCAGATTGGATGTGACTGGGTCCACAGAAGATGCCATTTTGGAGAGGATTCAAAAAATGGGTGACCAGGAAGAGAGCAGGAAAAGGGTGAGTGGGTGATGACTGCTTTCTCAGAATTCATTTAGCATGCTCCATAGTGAGCTATCTGAAGTAGTTAAAAGTACAATTTAAATGTGGTCATTTCACGTTCAACTGCATATTGTACTTAGGAAGGCCTGAGAGTCACTCAAGTGACCTCTGACTGTGCTGTGAGTTCTGGAGTCAGATCTTCCTGGCACCGGATAGGATCCTGTCTCTACCACGTAGATCCTGAGGTTATGACTTTTGGGATTTTCAGCCATGTTTGTTTGTTTGTTATTTTCTATGCTGGGGATGGAACCCAGGGCCTCACGAATGCTGGGCAGGGCTCTACCCTAAGCTACACCCCCAGTTTCTGAGATTTTGTTTACTCATCTCATTAGTGGCTGACAAAAGGTTCACAGTATCTTATCCAAAACCCTTGGGGCCCAATGTGCTTTGAATTCAGAAGTTCTGGGGTTTAAATAGGTTAGCTAGTTCACAGAAAGACAATACAGAAAGCAGGGGGTCGAGGCGGGGGCTGGACTGCACTCTGCTACCAACCACACTCATCCTGCCATAGCATGGAGACTATAAATACCCTCATGTAACAGAGTTTGCTGCTCAACCAGCCAGGTCAGGACAAGCCTTGTTAGTAAAGGAATTCTTATGGAATTTCAGGTAAGAATTTCTAGGCCTGTAACAGTATCTGCCTCATAAGGTCATTGTTTATTATAAACATTAAATGGAAAAATGTTACAGTCCTTAACACAATTTGGAAAGTCATAACAATAAATATTAACTATTACTGCCTCTGCTCCCTCCTCCTCCCTCCTTCTGTCTTTGGGTGTTGGTCTTTCGGGGAGCGTCTTTTGGGAGAACCACTCAGCGAATTGAGAAGAGTTTGATTTACGTGTATAGTTGGAAGCATGTTTCATGTGGTCATTTATACTGCCAACAATTCTCATTTTCTATACAGCTGTATTTAGCAAAGTTGACTTTGGCATAGACTGTTTCAATGATCACTAAATCCAAATGACTCAAGTCCTAGTTAATGAGGCTTAAAAGTAAGCTATAATCAACTTTCATGTCAAATTCCATCAGAAGCTATTTCTTTTATGGATGTCAGACTCATTCAAAAGGAGAAAATGCACCTTTTCATCTTTTAGTGTCAGTAAAAAACCTCAGTGATCACTAATTCATAGTTCAGGGTTGTGTCCTGTGACATCTCCCCATTTCTTCTCCCTCCTAAGCCCCTGCCTCAGGAACCACTGTTTTATTTACTACCATTATATATTTGACATTCCCTTTTAAAGATTCGGAATATAAATGAGATTGCACAATAGTTTTCTTTTTTGTGCCTGGTTTATTTTACTTAACATATTATCCTCTAAGTCCATCCATGTTATAGTAAGCAGGGAGAAAAATGAGAGGTGATGAATATGCTAACTTGTTCCAATATAGCAGCCATTTTGCCATATATGAAGATTAAAACATCACCTTGTACACCTTAAGTATACAGGATAAAATATATTTAAAAAACATAGTTCAGAGTTGCATTTTTAAATTTCCTATAACAATCAGAATGTTTTAGTTCCCTTAAAACATCTCTAAAATTCAGGCATTCTCTAGATGCAACCATCATAGCCCCTTTGGCCAAGTTCCCGGTTCTCTTTGTGAATACAAGATGCCCATACACACAGTGCTCCTTGGCTGACTTCTGCTGTGTAATATGTACAGATCTCTGAGATTAACTCAGCTTTTCTTGTGACTCAGTTTACTTACAGGTAAACTGAGGAGATTGAGGAGAGAAATTTTTTACAGGACTGAGAAAACTTCATCAAGTTATTGACCTTCCTGATAACAGTTGTACTTCAATAGCTAATGCCATTCATTTTGGTTTCCCTTCTATATTTCTAGGGTTTTTTTCCCCCTAAAACTGTTTGAATTCCAGCCTGTGAAAATGGTATACAGTTGTCAGCATGATGTATATGTTTATTTTCTAAAGCAAAATGGTGTAAATTGGTTAAGCTGAGTATGCCTTCCCCCACTCCCCATAAAACTGAGAATGATTCAGAATCTTTTTAGTGCTTTTGTCTGCCTTTCTTACCCTGTAATTTTTTTGATAACTGCTCTTCCTGTTTAAAAGCCTGAAATCAAGCATATAGCGGGTGTCTTGTGTGACTCGTTTTCAAGTAAAATCAAGGGAAATGGATGTCGTATATTGTCTTAGAAATGTTTCAGAATAATAGGAGCTTTACAGATTGATGAGTCTGTGGAGGAGGCTGTCCCCTGCCAGCTGCCATGGCTACACGCACAGTCAACAGTTCAGTAATACTGATGCAAAGGCCCAACAGGCTTGGCCTGGCTCCTTCCCCACCTCGTGTCCACTCCTGCCTGTGGAACCTTGCTTTTCTTTTTACCCCTTCGCAATCCATTTTCTCTCTCCTGGATTTGCAATTCTCAGTAGATTGAGGACACCGCCCACACTCCTTCAGAAGTCATTTCTACCTGTTCCTTACATTTCTGCTGCTGGCAAAATTTAATTTTCTTTTTAAAAGTTTTACTATGTCTTAGAGCAGGATTACTCAGCTCAGGTCTATTGACATTTTGCACCAGGTATTCTTTTGTCGTAGGGGCTGTCCTATGCATTTTAGGATGGTTGGCAAATATTCATGACTTCCACCCACTAGATACCAATAGCATCCCCCTCCCCAATTTGTGGCAACCACAAGTGTCTCTAGATATTACTAAATGTCCCCAAGGGGCAAAATAATCCCAGATGGAAACTACTGCCTTAGGTCCTATTACTGGGTTCCCAGGAATCCTAAAGATGTTTTTATAGGTTATTTAGCCTTGAAATTTCAGAACATCATCCTAGATGTTCATGAAATAATGACTTCTTGCACAATGGCAGAAAGTTGCAACGTTTTTCAGATTTTACTTTAGAAGTTCGAGACAAAGTTTTCCCTACTTTGAGCAGTTTCCTAACTGAGTAATCATATGGACAAGAACTGGTTATGTGTAGCCAGGACGTGGCCATGATCAATGTCCTGTCATTTCCAAAATTAAAAACAAATCTGATCTGGATGATCTCTTGGCTCTGCTTTTGTGACACCTAAGCTTTCTTGGCTGGAAAGTTTCTTAGTCTGGACTTTATGACACTGGGACAGTTTGCTCTAAAGAGCTTGAGATGGCTCCATGGCCCCCAAATCCTTCCCATCTCACAGCCTATCATCATTCTCCCTCTCTGTGCTTAATTTCTGCCACCCACTAAAGCAAACATTTCTCCAGAAGCACCAGCAGACTTCCACTGGTGTGCCACTGTCAAAAACTATGTTTCATTGTCACCCATGGGCACAAGGGCATCTGAGGTTTGGCTTCCCTGCCCCCAGGTTGTGTCATGTCCTAGGGCTGCTGTAACAAAGGACTGTTAACTGGATGGCTTAAACAGAATTTTCTGGCTCACAGTTCTGGAGGTTAGACTTCTAAAATCAAGGTGTTAGTAGGTTGCTCTCTTCTGAGGTGTGATTTCACCTAGCCTTGGTGGCCTCAGGTATATATACCCTAACTTGTGGTGGTGGTGCTCTCTCTGCCTTTTCACATTTGTCTTCTCTTCTTGCCTAACTTTGTGTACAAATTCCCCCTTTTTGTAAGGATACTGGTCAAATTGGATTAGAGTCCCCCAATGACTTCATTGTGACTTAAGTATCTCGGTAAAGAGCTTATTTCCAAATAACGTTCATTATGAGATACTGGGGTGCTTCAGTGTATGAGTTGTGGTACCCAACTCAACACATTGCAGAAGTTGACATGAGCAAAGAAGGAGGCAGCAGAGTTAGGCAGTCAATATCACTGGCCATGTGTACTGATTAGAAGGGAGTGTGCTAAGTTCCTAGGAACTTTTTTTATATAATTGCTAAGGAAGGTTAGAGTTTGGATAATAGGAAAAGACCTGTTTATGTCCAAAAGGCACTGGTCCTTGTGTCTGGGAGTGCTTTCTCAGAACAAGCTCTTCTGCTGCTCTTTGGTTTCATCTCAGCGCAAAATGTCTCTCTAAGGAAATCAACAAACCCTTGTCCTTGGCAAGTGAATTAACTCTGCATTATGACTTCACTTCCAAAACTGGGCTGCTCATATTCTTGGAGTATAGTTTACTGCAGTGCCTTTAAAAAAAATCTTTAATCTTTTCAGCAGTGCCTTTTTATTTATAAAATTGAGGTATGTATTCTTTTTAAGTTAGTTTTCATTTTTAATAGATTTTATTTTTTTGAGCAGATGCAGGTTCACATTAAAATTGAGAGGAAGATACAGACATTCTTGTATTCTTCCTGTTCCCACACATTGGCCTCCCCTATTACCAAAATCCTCCACCCTAGCTGTACCTATGTTGACACATAGTTATTACCTAGAATGGTAAACCTACAGTGACACATCACCCAAAGTGACTTATCCATAGTTTACATTAGGTGTGTTTTCTTTATGATGGTCCAGTCATACCTCCTTACCTCTTTTGAGTATAGAAATCCCAACCACATTTTTGTCCTCCAGAACAGCAAATGTGTGTTCACAGGTGGGGCAAAGGAAAGTAGGAAGAAGGAAAAGCTTGTTGACGTTTTAGACTTCTTGGTGTGAAAAATAGTACTTGTTTACAATTTGGGTGTGACTCATGTGTTCGCCCTGCCACTGGCATTTGATGTGCTCAAGAACCAAGTCAGGTGGGAAAGGTTAATTTATTTTTGTACATTTATGTAAATTTAGCTCTGAAAAAAACTCCATGTTGTCATAAGCACTGACACCTGAACAGGCTTCTATTGTTAGCTCTGTAGTGGTGCAGCAACAGGAGAGGCTCTACCGTTTGCTCTTTCTGAGCCCCAGCCTCTTGCTATGACAGCTGGGTACATTCTGCATGGTCCTGCCATCTGCATACAAGATTGTACTCTGATGAGGCTTCAAGGTTCTTCAGAACGTCCTTGGATCACATTGGTGAAAATCTCTTGTTTTTTATTCAAAAGCATTTGTCCTTCCCAGGAAGACTTCTAGTTGTCAAAAAAGACTACAGTTGAAAATAGTTTGAGAAACGTGAGCTAGGACAATTTCTGAAGGGTTCTTTAAGGAAAGGACATGTGACTGGCTGAACTGTCCCATGACAGACAGGGACAGTGTGTGGAATTTTGACTGGCCACGAAACAGACCTGACAGTGTGACACAAATGTGCTCGCATTGGAAATGGGAGGTGTGGCTGGCTTCACACCGGACCCCATGTAGGAGGGACTCTGTGCATGACTCCAATGATGTGAATTCACCAATTTAACCACAGATGAGTTCTAGAGAGGTCATTTGCTTCAGGTAGCATGCTAGGAAAGCTGGAGACTTGAAACAAGGGCTGTCTGACCCCAAAGTCCCTTTCCCACAGTCTGTTCCACATCAAGATGTCTCCTTCCTCTGTCAGGGTCATTGTCACTCTCTTACCCTAGCTTTCTGTTGTTGCTCTGGGTCATCTTCAGAATGAACTCCTTCCTGACCAATTTCTACAGAAGGCTCTGCTTCCTTCCAGTGAGGTCTGTGATGTGCTGACCATTTCCAAGGGTGACAATTCTCCCTCTCTGACTGAAATTTCAGCATCTATTTTCTCACTGGTTTCACCTCCACTCTAGCTCAACTGTTGGACAGAGTGTTGGAGCCTTTTTAGGTGGAAAGACTCATTCCTTGTCGGGAGTTCACATCTCCTGTTGTGCAGAAATGTGTTAAACCCTGAGTCCCCAAGGACCAGCTCCCTGGCCAGGCAGCATCTTGCAGCATGTGTTTTGTAGCCGGTTTTCTGTAGGTTATTTTGTATGTGGTACCAGGGCAAGCACAACATTTTTTGTGTTAAGATCAGATCTATTGTTGGAAGGCACTAAGAGTAGAAAATATGTGGTGAGGTTTCTCAGAGACTCATGTTCTGTAATGACATTAAAAATTGCCTTCAGGGCTGGCAGTGTGGCTCAAGTGGCAGAGTGCCTGCCTGACAAGGACAAGGTCCTAAGTTCAACCCCAGTACTGCCAAACAAATTTCCTTGGGAGGACTGGGGCATGGCTCAAGAGATAGAATACTGCTTGCCTAGTAAGCTTGAGGCCCTAAGTTCAATCCCCAGTACTGCCAAAAAGAAAAAAAAAATTTCTTGGAAATGTAATTCCTCAGATATGACTCTGAAGAGTTTACCATCAAATATCTGATTTTAAGCACCCAACAAAGTATAGAATTAATTGAATTATCATTTGAATGACACGAAAAGATGCTTGAAATATTACTAGGTCAAAACAAAGAGAAAAAGTTGCCTGTATAAGATAATGTTAACTTTATCTTAACAAGGTATCCCAAATAAATTATTTTAAAATATTAATAGCTGTGGCCTCTGGGTGGGGGCTCATGGGGGGTTATTTTTTGTGTTTTTATACTTTTTTCCTTAATGGGTATTTTACTATGGGTTTGTATGTTACTTTATTTTATAGGAACTGGGAAAGTATTTCCTTAAGTAGACATGGAATTTTTCTCTGACTGATACCTGCTGGTCCTCTATCTAATCTGTGAGGGAAACCTGGGTCAAATCTTACTGATCTTTCATATTGCTCTTTTGAAATTTTGAAGGTAACTTCAATGTCTTTCTGCCTTTAAACATGATTGTTTATAGATAGGCAAGCAGAAATTGTTTTCCCTTTAAAAATCCAGACTGTAAAAATTCTGAAACAGTCAAGATGTTTAATACTACAGAATGGTACATAGTATTATATAAATATCTACTACTCTTTCCCTTTACCCTTAAAAAAGCATCAAAAGAAAGCAAATTTACCATTCTAAACTTGATGGTTTTATTGAATGCAACCTTTTATAAAAATTGGGTTCAGTACCTGAAAGTGTACGTGAGGTCTTTGATAAACTTAGGTCTTGGTTTAAGAGAACGGGACCTTCAAGAGGAACTCCTGGGAAGGGCAAAAACACTGGGCAAATGGTGGGGGCTCTGGAGAGCCTTGGGGGCTTTTCAGAGGGCCCAGGACTTTATGCAGTAGAAGAGGAACAGTAACCAGCTTTCCCTGCCTTCTTGCATGCTGTCCTTAACTCTATCTGGAGTCACCATATCAAAGAGGCTTTGACCTTTCAAATGCTAAAATGACAATATTACTGCATAACTGTGTAATGTAGAGTCAGGAGCACTGGAGCTTACAGAATGAATAACCAATGCTCAATAGAACGCTACATAAAAGAAAAAAAGTATTTCTGACCTTGAATTCCCCATAACACCTCCAGGTTACTTATGATAAACTCGCTGTATAGTCTTTAATCGACTATATGTGGTGAAAGGCTTTCTTTAGGGAAAATGATTCTTTTGTAGATTTAAAAAACACTTTTTGCTTTAATCCTTTATCTTTAATCTAATTTATCTTTGAAACTCCTAAATTAATGGCAGTTTTAGAGGTCAGTAAATATAAATATTTATTAATTAACCTGTTGAAGGAATTATACAAAAATTAAAGTACCAAGCAAACATACTTTATTAGACAGTGGATGTAGGTTTATTTCAAACAAAGGCAAATACAGCTACCAATGACCTACTTTTAAATTTAGCTTTTGCAAAGAATCTGGAAGTGGGTGTCTTAACTAGTTATGCTACTTGGGCAGAGCCTAGATTTTAACACTTTGTTGCATGAGAAACAAGGCTTATCCTTGTTCTGTGTCTTTGTTTCCAGATGGTCTCCCAGCTGGAAGCCCAAGTATCTGAGCTTGTGGAGCAGTTGGGAAACGAGTCTGAATTTCACCAGAAAGCTCTGCAGAGGGCCCACAAGGCAGAAAACGAGCTGGAGACTCTTCAGGACCAGCTGACACACCTGGAGGGAGAGCTGGTGTCTGGAGCTGTTTTGCGAGACAACTTGAATCTCGAGAAGCAAAAAGTACTAACCTGAGGGCATGTCCATGGGTTACTGGAGAATATTCTGAATTTTGTAGTAATTAGACTGACTTTGTCCTGGGTGATGAGCAAATCCCAAGGAACTATGTGTCTCTTCCTGTTGTTCAGAGGAATAATTCCTTGATTCAAAGGAATTCCGTTAAACTCAATAGGAATTTATTGAATGCCCATTATATACGCGACTCTGAAAGTTTGAGGGGGAGAGTATGAATAATACGTAGTTCTTAATCTTAAAAGATTCATAATTCAATAGAGGAGACAGAGTCAGATAATTTTCTGTACCATAGACTATAGTGTTACAATGGCTGAACTGCAGTAAGAAAGTGTTCTAGGCACTTCTGGGTAAGAAGATTTTACAGGAGAGGAGATATGTAAACTAATCTTTGAAGGATAAGTAGGATCAGCATGGGAAGGAGGGGCGGACGGGTACTATAGGGGCACCTGTTTGAACCAGTACTGTATTTGGAGTGGTTAAACCCATATGGCCAGAGCATGGCATTCTTTATGGGATTGTGGCAAGAGAGAACACTGGAATGGTGTGGATTATGAAGGCTGCGTATTCTTTACTCTGTGGGTTATAAAGTGTAATTCGTGATTGTGAGGAGGACAGTCACATGCTATGTAATGATGCGTTGGTCAGTCATGGGCACATATAACAGCAGTCCTGTAAGATTAGGGCTAGGTGTGCAGCTCGGTGGCCGAGAACATGCCTAGCATGTGAGAGGCCCTGGGTTCAATCCCTAGCACCCTTCCGCAAAGTTAGAAAGTTTATATTGCCTAGTGATCTTGTAGCCATCTTAGGTGTGAAAGTACATTCTACAGTGTCACACAATAATGAAGTCATCAAGCTGATAGAGTTCTCAAAACACATCTCCATCGTTAAAGCACTGTGTGATTGTATTTTAGAAAGAAGGTGCTGGCACTGTGGAGCTGAGAATGCAATATGGAGACACTCGGAAATGATGGTGTCAGCACCTTACAGCCCTTTGGGTGCACTAGCGAACCCACCACTGCTTCTTACTATTCCTGCCCGAGAGTGGTCTTGCTTCCTTCCGGATTTTACAAACCTGGATTACTTAATATAAAACTTTGAGGAAAAAACACCCACAACTGTCACACCTGGATCTAACCTAGAGATGTGGAAGTAGTGTCTCACTGTCTGCTGGAGAGTAAACTGCATGGCCCATGAGCAGTTAAACACACTCAGGTCCACAATGAGCCCACTCCTGCTTTAGTGATGGTGGTGATTTGTCCCCCATGCCCAAGCCATCATCATTGTTCCCCTCTCTGTACCTAGTTCCTTAGCTCTGGCAGTCCTGGCTTCTTGCTGCCTCCAGTACCAGTAGCAGTGTTACTGTGCACTGTGCTAATTAGACCACAGAATCAGGCTTCTAAAAGGTCTGTGGTCACCACAGCTCTCGCCACTGCTGCCAAAGAGGTCTTAATAAAATGCATATCTGATCTTATCTTTCTCCACTTTAAAACTGGCTGCTGGCTCTCTGTGGCCATCAGGATCAGGTACAGATTCTTTCTTTTCCCATGGCCTCACATTCCACATGTGGACTAGTTCTCCTTCCCTCCATCCTTCTCCCTGGCACTCCTCCCCAGCCATCTCTCCAACAGGGACAAACTCAGAAGCGTTCAGGAATGGCAGGGTGTGTGGTGAGTGATCGCTGAGCCTAGAGCAATCCAATTCCACCTCTCCTCTGGCCATGGTGCCATGTCACCCTGCATGCAGTTGTTCACTCTTGAGAGTGTGTGCTTCTCGCCTTCAGCAGGTAATAACCGTCTCTTCAAGATGTTGCTCGAGTGTCACCGACTCTGGCAATGACTCAGTTCTCTCTTCTTGAGCTCCTCAGCAGCAGGTGCCCGCCATGGTCACAGCACCTTCCCCCTTGCTGGATCTATCCGTAGCTTCCTGAAGCCTGGGGAAATTTCTTTTCAATAAATATTATTTGAATTATAGAAGAAATACATTAAAGGCAAGAATGTCAGGTAGATTGTTTTCTCTTCCCTTGTCTCCATATAAATGAATCATTAATTTTAATCGGGATTATTTATGCCCAAATGACTCCTAGTTATGAAGGCAAATTAAGCTAATTCTGTCCACAGCAGTTTTTCCACAGATAACTACGTACGAAATGCACGTCTGGTGAGGACAATAGCATGCAAAATTGAAACGCAAAGTTTGTACAGAGATAAAATGCTCCAGGGGGTCGTGTGAGCGCACTGTAGAATGCACCGCGCCTTACTGATGCAGCCTGTCACTCCGATGGACGCGGGGCCATCATTTCTGTGATGTTCAAAGTGCCCGGCAACTGGCATCCTCTGGGGATGGCTACGGTCCTCCAAGAGGCACCTTTATCTTTACCCCTTCTTGCTCCCCCCCCTTTTTTAAAAGTGTACAGTGGGAGAGTTTATTGAGGTAGAAAAGTGAAAAGTGGGACAGTAGAGGGCCGAGTTGGGAGCGGGGTTCCCAAGAAAGGGCGTCAGAGAAATGATGGGATCCGAGGTTTTTATCCATTTTCTCCAGGGTGTTGCTCACTATCTATGCTAATTAGGTGTTCAGAAAACAGCATTTTGGTTGGCTGTGCCTGCACCCTTTTGATTGGTCCTGATGCTCGCACCATCTGTCCTGCCTCCCCTTTTTTCCACCCTTTCAGGTCACAGGGAGGTCATAGTGGAGGTTTGCAGAGGCCTCCTCTGCCTCTTTCCTCCCTCTGAAGAAGAGACCTTAACTGCCCTTAGAGAAAAGGCATTGGCTGTTCCTTGGCTGCTTGGAGCTAGAGAGGGGCATAGGTGGGGAGGCAGTCAGGGCCTTCTCCCAGAGGCCTATCAAAGGGTCCCCATTTTTATCTTAGCCCTTCTTGCCTCCTGTAGCTCCTCCGACTCAAAGTGAACCGGTCACATGTAGAAACAGAAAAAAAGGGACTTTCCTACCTTTACGTGAGGGATGAACTCTTATGCAAAATACAACCAAGGACAGTTATTTCACTTTCAAACAGAGGCCAGAAATTTAAAATTCCTCAGGAAGGGTTGCTACAGAGTGACCAATTGTTAACCTGAGGTGCAGGGTCAAAGGCAACCTGTGGTGGTGTACACAATGCAGTGTGCTGTGCTTGCAATGACTGTGACCTACAAAGAAAAGATTAAGTTGTATTTATGTATATGCTATTTAACAAAATTGGCAAACATACACCGTGAGATAATTTCATCCTGATGACTAACATATGGATACTTCTAGGCTTTAAGCTGATGTGCTTGGGCGGCAGGAAATTATACTTATTTGAACATTTGATTGTCTGAAAATGCCAGATGGATGAGAAGTTATTGCAATGAGAAGGAGATATTAAGATAGGACCCAAATCACACAATTATGATGTAGAAACCTCATTAATTGTCTTGCTCATCCATCAGACACTTAGTCAGCATTATTCTGTGACTGGGTATGGCTGGATAAGCCACAGCAGTCAAGTGCAGGAAATTCTTTAAATCAACTTTGAACTTTAACGTGTTAAAATATGAACGTTGGCTTCTTTCATGCAGCTCTGTTTTAGGATGTTGCTCGTTAAAACTTTTTTTTTTTTTTTTTATTATTCATATGTGCATACAAGGCTTGGTTTATTTCTCCCCCTGCCCCACCCCCTCCCTTACCACCCACTCACCCCTCCCGCTCCCCCCCTCAATACCCAGCAGAAACTATTTTGCCCTTATCTCTACTTTTGTTGTAGAGAGAGTATAAGCAATAATAGGAAGGAACAAGGGTTTTTGCTGGTTGAGATAAGGATAGCTATACAGGGCATTGACTCACATTGATTTCCTGTGCGTGGGTGTTACCTTCTAGGTTAATTCTTTTTGATCTAACCTTTTCTCTAGTACCTGTTCCCCTTTTCCTATTGGCCTCAGTTGCTTTAAGGTATCTGCTTTAGTTTCTCTGCATTAAGGGCAACAAATGCTAGCTAGTTTTTTAGGTGTCTTACCTATCCTCACCCCTCCCTTGTGTGCTCTCGCTTTTATCATGTGCTCATAGTCCAATCCCCTTGTTGTGTTTGCCCTTGATCTAATGTCCACATATGAGGGAGAACATACGATTTTTGGTCTTTTGACCAGGCTAACCTCACTCAGAATGATGTTCTCCAATTCCATCCATTTACCAGCGAATGATAACATTTCGTTCTTCTTCATGGCTGCATAAAATTCCATTGTGTATAGATACCACATTTTCTTAATCCATTCGTCAGTGCTGGGGCATCTTGGCTGTTTCCATAACTTGGCTATTGTGAATAGTGCCGCAATAAACATGGATGTGCAGGTGCCTCTGGAGTAACAGTCTTTTGGGTATATCCCCAAGAGTGGTATTGCTGGATCAAATGGTAGATCGATGTCCAGCTTTTTAAGTAGCCTCCAAATTTTTTTCCAGAGTGGTTGTACTAGTCTACATTCCCACCAACAGTGTAAGAGGGTTCCTTTTTCCCCGCATCCTCGCCAACACCTGTTGTTGGTGGTGTTGCTGATGATGGCTATTCTAACAGGGGTGAGGTGGAATCTTAGTGTGGTTTTAATTTGCATTTCCTTTATTGCTAGAGATGGTGAGCATTTTTTCATGTGTTTTCTGGCCATTTGAATTTCTTCTTTTGAGAAAGTTCTGTTTAGTTCACTGCCCATTTCTTTATTGGTTCATTAGTTTTGGGAGAATTTAGTTTTTTAAGTTCCCTGTATATTCTGGTTATCAGTCCTTTGTCTGATGTATAGTTGGCAAATATTTTCTCCCACTCTGTGGGTGTTCTCTTCAGTTTAGAGACCATTTCTTTTGATGAACAGAAGCTTTTTAGTTTTATGAGGTCCCATTTATCTATGCTATCTCTTAGTTGCTGTGCTGCTGGGGTTTCATTGAGAAAGTTCTTACCTATACCTACTAACTCCAGAGTATTTCCTACTCTTTCTTGTATCAACTTAAGAGTTTGGGGTCTGATATTAAGATCC